GTTTTGGGGCCTTAAATTCCTCATCTGCAAAATAAGGATTATAAAAATAGTGCCTACTTCAGAGAACTGTTGTGAGAAATAAATGAGATATTCATGTCAGGCACTTAGCACAGTACTTGGGACAGAATATGCTCTTCATACATAAGGTGTTATTTTAGACAAAGGTAGGGGGTCAAGTTCAGTGTATCTGGTTGGTGCCAATCTTACCAGCTACTCTGGAATATCCACCTCTTGGGTAAGCAGAATAATGGCCCCCTAAAGATGTCCACTTCTTAATCCCCGGACCCTGTGAATATGTTACCTCACATGGCAAAAGAGACGTCGCAGATGTGATTAAGTTAAGGATGCTGAGATGTGGAGATTATCCTAGATTATCCCAGTGGACCCAGTGTAATCACAAAAGTCCTTATAAGTGAAAGAGGGAGGCAGAAGGGTCCGAGAAAGACGTGACAATGGAAGCAGAGGTTGGAATGAATGATGTGATTGCTGGCTGGGGGCCACGAGCCAAGAATTGTGGGCAGTCTTCAGAAAGCAGAAAAGGCAAAGAAAGGTATAAATTGAGCTAAGGAATAGAAACCTCAGGAGATATAAAAGTGGTCTTCTCTCCTCAGACAAAGAGAAAAGAGGGCAGAAAAATTCATCCTTTGGCGGGCTCACCATCTGCTCACACACATGGACGTTTTATTATATGAAATGAGGTGAGCAGGGCAGAGTATGTACCCAAAAAGTGTGTTCAAGGAGGACTGGGAGGTTTAACCCACCTTTTGGCCTTGGACAATACGAATTAACTAAAGGAGAGATTGTGGAGAACTTCATTTCTGTGTAAAATGAAGAGAAGAGAGATGTTACTTTTACAGAGAAAAAAGAGTACAGAACAGTGTTTCCCCAACCTAGTTTGGCAGAACTCAAGGTGTCCACAATTTAAGTCCTATTTGTGAATTTTTTAGAATACCCTCTTAATGAAATTTAATTCAAGATATTTGCATTTTGTTTAATAAACCATTGTGGAATCTCCAATTAATAATAGCACACTGGGAGACGCATTTAATTCCTCTTCCTCTAAAAACCTAGCTAAAAGACATTAAAGGAATGAAAACACTAACTCACAAGGGCAAAGAGAATGGGAGGTGAGACAACAGTGGATGAGAGCTCTCAACAAATTTGGGGAGACAAAACGTTGTTGGAGGGATTTCCAGTTAAACATGGCAGATGAATTTCCCTACCTTTGCCTTTGCTTTTTCCGGAAACATCAATAAAACTACATTAAGGAATAAAGTAGATTTGTGTTAGACAAAGACATGTTACACCTGAGGGGAGAGCCGTCACCAGCTTTCCAATCTAGGATCTTTAACCAGCCAAACTATCCTTGAACAGTGACATTAGAACAAAGATATTTTCTGGCACGTAGAGACTTTAAAAATTTACCTCTCATTTACCCTCTTTTTAAGTAAGCTTTTGGGAATGTGTTCCAACAAAAGGAGAGAAGAAAATGAGAAAGAGAAATGCAAGACTCCAGGCAGGGAAGAGGAGATTTAAAATGGGCAAGAGATAAAGGGGATTCCAAGGACAGTGGCAAAGAGATGATTCAAAATGACAACTGTTCAGCAGCCTCAGAGAGCAACTCGTGCAGCCTGGAACAAGAAAAACACAGATTCTGAGAGGTCTCCAGAAAAAAACATAAAACGGAGTCTTTGAATGTAGACCCATGGCAGAGATGTCAGAGCACTTGAAGAAGTACTTAGAAACAATACTTAGGAAACCGGAGACATAAAAAACCGAGTCAGTTATTAACTCTAGGAAGAGTAAAGGGCTGTGTAAGAAAGGAGGCAGAGTCCTAGTGCATCCACTTGGTTTAGGAGGAAACAATATTTATGTGGTCGTGATACAAACATAAACATTTTCCACTCCCAAATTGCTGTGCAATGATGCCGGGGAGATAGGAGGTTTAGAAGGGAGTGGTGTTAGTGTGGGAGAAATGAGCCAATAAACATTCTAAAATTGGTAAATCAAAAAACTTCAGTGTAAGCTTCTTACTTAGAAGGATGGTGGTAAGTACCAGGGGAAAAGACCGAAGGGCTGAGGGTGGTTTACCTCTAAGGAATAGGACATGAAAGGTGAGATGGGGAGGGTAGGATGGCGGGGTACTTTTAAATTAAGTGCTTCTCAATTATATTATTTTGAGTAAATCATTTAATACTTTGAAGAAGGCCTATGTACTATAATACATTTGACAACAGTAATAAGTAAGTAAATGACATTTTGAAATTGAAAAAAATAGTTAAAACTTGCTTTGGTGCACTTTTGGGAACAGTTAGAATTTTCTTACAAAATTGAAGACCTGGCAAAGTATCCTCAGCATGGCAGTCAGGCACTTGGAGTCTGACAATCGCTTTTTGGCCTCAGCTCTGCCATGTGCTGTGTGACCTTGGATAGATCACTTAACTTCTCTGAGCCTTGCTTCTTCTTGCCTATAGAATGAGGATATCAATAATACCTAAGTCATGGGAATTACTTGAGAATTAAGTGAGATGATGATAAGAACAACTGAGGAAATGTGCTAGCCACTTTATACATATTATCTCATGAATCTTCATGACCCGTACAATTTGTGAAAGGCATACTTATCACTATGTCTAATTGTTTAATTATTAATTGTTTAGTAACTGTTAGCAGTTTTCTGTTAATATTTCTATGGGAATGAAGATCAGTAGGAGATACAGAATGAAAAAAAGATAAACTCAGTAACATTCTGCTTATTTTGAGACCAGATTTGCAGTATCCTCTGTCTTCCTGTTACATGTAGTCTTGAACATGAAGTAAAAAGAAAAATGTCCTCAGGGCATCAAAGTTCTATTCAAAAGTGACACCTTTTTTGCCTTAGCACTGCATTCTCTTTTTTTTAAATTGAGGTAAATATACTTAACATAAATTTTACCATTTTTACTGTAAGTGCACAGTTCAGTGCCATTGAGTGTGTTCACACGGTTGTGCTAGAGAGTCTGTAGCACCTCTTCCTAACCCTTGCTGACTTTCTATTTTAAAGACAAAGATGCTGCTGCAGATTTAGATTTTCAGCAGGTAGCAGTGTTGAGGTGGAATTTAGTAACATTATTTTTAAAAATTATATTTACTTTTACCATTATCATCTAATTACGGCAGGATACCTATTTTTCATTCACTCAAATGAAATAAATTTCCCTTTTAAAATAAATTTACTTTTGTAAAAACAGTGAGTCACTTGAGAGAAATTTAGAAGCATACGCTGTGTCAGACTGTAGAATAATTGGGCAAAAATTGTGCATAAAGATAATACTCAAATGACGTTTTCAAAACACTACTGGATCTGTGAGAGTAGTATCTGGGCTCCACAAGTGTTATTTGTTAACTCTGTTCATACTTTTCTAGCTTTAGGGTACATCCCAGCTCCGTGGGATGCTTGTGAAAATGCAGATCCCCAGGCCTTTAACCCCAGGGAGCCTCAGTAAGTCCCAGGTGGGATCTGGCACTCTGCAATTTTTGATGAGCATCCCAGGTGGTTCTGATGTAACTGGTCAGCATAGGGCACCCACAGAAATTGTAGGCTGGATCTTCCCCTTTCAACCCAGGGCAGAGTTAATGGCTTGGTGACAGTGTTGCGTGTCTGGAAACCCGCCTTGCCACAGAAGTGCTCTTGCCTTTGTGCTCCTCTCGTGTTTCCAGGGGCAGCAGGACTTGTAGCTAATGTTCAGGCAACGTTCTAAGCGCTTTACACTTGTTGAGTCATTTAATCCTCAGTGCTACCAGGAGGCAGATCCTATTATTACTCTTATATTACAGGTGAGGAAACCCAGAAACAGAGGTGAAATCCCATGTAAGATCCCAGGGCCAGGAGGTGGCAGAGCTGGGATTCAGCCTGGCCACCTGGCTCAGAGCCGCTGTTTTACCTGCGGTCGTCTGCTTCCTCTCCTGCACTCTGGCTCTACTGTGAATATGAAGGATCATCACCCCCTTTAATTCTACAGCTTCTTATCATCCTATCAGGAAATCACACTCTTTATTCAAATCAGAAATAATTTGATATTTGGATTTAATAAATAAATGAATCCATGACTAGGTGAATGTCCTAGGATTGAGGATGACTAACTTTCTAGCTCAGTGGAAACCGGGGAATAGGTCTGTCCTTAAAAACTAAGAGTCATAAACAATGGAATACTACTCAGTCATGAAAAGAATAAAATCATGCCATTTGCAGCAACATGGATGGACCTGGTGATAGTCATACTAAGTGAAGTAAGTCAGAAAGAGAAAGAAAAACACCATATGATATTACTTATATGTGGAACCTTAAAAAAAAAGGATAAAAAAAGAGCTTATTTACAAAACAGAGACAGACTCACAGACATAGAAAAAAAAACTTATGGTTACCAAGGGGGAGAAGGGGTGGGAGGGATAAATTGGAAGTTTGGGATTTGTGGATACTAACTACTATATATACAATAGATAAACAACAGTGTCTTACTATATAGCACAGGGAAATATATTCAACACCTTGTAATAGCTTATAATGAAAAAGAATATGAAAAGGAATATATTGCATATAACTGAATCACTATGCTGTATACTAGAAATTAACACAACATTGTAAATCGACTATATGTCAATTTAAAAAACCCAAAACTAAGAGACAACATTTGCGCTGCCCATGATGAAAAAAAAGTGTTCTCTGTTTGCCAAGAAAACTAAACTGGTACTGATTTATCTGATTCTGTGCACAAAATGCACAAGACAGGAAAACCTGTGATCTGTCCCGCTCAACATTTCTGATTTTCTCCCCTATTTCTTCAAAGAAAAAGAAAGTCCAAAAATCGCTGCAGAGATTTGCAGGATCTTCAGTTCCATTTTTCAGACTTGGGTACAAAACGAGGCTCAGTTAACTCTGGGTCTGCCCCCATCAGAAGGCGATCACATTTTGGGTGACTGGAGGCTCATCAAGGATGACGTGGGCAATCTTGTTCACTCACCACATGCATTTCTTTTTTTCTCCCCCAAGTCACAGATGGGCGCTGGAAGCAGAGCCAACCGGGGGCTCGCAGAGAGGCAGACAGCGGTGCTGGGTGTGACAAGGAGGCATCAGTCTGCCTTTGTCCACCAGACGGCTGACCCTCCGTGGGAGCTGGAGGCAGCCGTGGGCTCTATCTCCGCCCCAGGCACCGCCAACTGCGGCAGAGGTGGGTACCAGGGTAGGCAGCGTGCCTCCAATATGTGCAGGCTGCGGAACAGGTTTTGTTTTTCCTGCCAGCAGCTGCTTTTTTGTGCCGTTGAATTGCTCTGGCGGAAGAGAGCTTCCAAGCCCGGGCACGTGGAAAACGCATGGCCAGGATGTCAGTCATTGCATCACAGTTGCACTTTGCAAGGGAGTGACCACTTCGGACAATTTGCACATGACAAACCATTCTGACTCCAGCCCAGGGAAACAGCGTGCGTCCCAGATCAGCTGGCTTCCTGAGACTGAGCACTCTGTAGACTGGAGCCCTCCACACCAAGGAAACAAACACGGGGTTAACTTTTAGATTTTACGAGGTGCTTCAGATGTTGTTTTGATAATGAAGCAGTAGACCCCCCCTCCAAAAATAAAAGAAAAAATATATGTATATGATTTATTCATCTATTTCTTGTATCTGTCAAGGTGACTGTGGAGCAGCTGAAGATGGCATGCGTCTGTAGGGGTAGATACTGAGAACAACAAGACACGTTAGTAAAAACTAGAAAGATCTTCAACTTGTGTGTAGTCTAATCTGTGACATCTGAGGGCAAAAAAGGACAATTCTTTACAAGGAAGCTGTAGAGTGGTAGTTCTCAACTTCGGCTGCATATTAGAATTACCTGGGGAGCTTTTTAAAAAAATCCCAATGCCAGGGTTGCACCCCGGACCAAAGAAATCAGAATCTCTGGGCGGGGGTGGGGGTAGGACCCAGGCCTCAATAATTTAAAAAGTTTCCCAGGTGATTCCCGTGTGCAGCTAAGGTTCTGAATCACTGCTTTAAGGGGAAGTTTCCTTACCTTTTCAAAAGTCATATAGCATTTTGGGGGAAATGGTAATGCACTGATAACTTACTCACAAAGGGATGAAAATGGAAGTCACCCTCTAATTCGCCTGATCGCCATACTTTATTATCTGCTTCTCTTGTAATTGCTTTGTGCAAGGGTTGGAAATCCTATGCTTTCATGCCTGTAGGGGCCAGGCATGGACAGCGGATGGGGGAAGTACTCCAGCTGAAGTTTGGGGGAAAGAGGACTGGAGGGGACTAGGAAGCCTCAGCCCCAGAGCCGAGTAGCCACTCCGCCCTCCTCCTGATGTTGGCACCAGGGGCAGCTGCAGCTTAAGTGGGGCCAGGGTTTGGGATTTTTCAAACAAATTGGTCATCAGAATTTTTCATGTGAAACATTCCCTTTTAGAAGTGTTTGCCACAAATTCAGATTCTTTTAAAACTCCCTAAAGCCAAATGATACTCATTTGCAGGCCAGATGTGGCCCCCTGGGCTGTCTTTTAGTTCACTTAGTTTAAGTACCTTTTGGGGATGCTTCTACTTTTTTATTGCAGTAAAATACACTTCACCTAAAATTTACCATTTTAATCACTTTACAGCATATAATTCAGTGGCATTAAGTACGTTCATGGTGTTGCACAGCCGTCACCTCTGTCTAGTTCTAGAACTTTTTCATGACCCCCCAAACAGAAAGCCCATATCTGTTAAGCCCTCACTCTCCATTCTCCCCTCCCCTGGGGAGAGATGGGGGTTGCCCCTGGCAACCACTAATCTGCTTTTTATCTCTCTGGATTTGCCTATTCTGGATATGCCATATGAGTGGAATCACACGACTGTGACCTCTTGTCAGCGAAACGGTGTCAGGTTTGCCCAGGTTGTAGCACAGTCAGTGCTTCACTCCCTTCGATGGCCAGGTACGACTCCCTCGTATGGAAGCGCCACGCGTTAGATGGTGGCTGGTTGTGTTGCTTCCACCTTTTGGTTGCAGTGACTGGTGCTGCTGTGAACATTTGTGTGCATGTTTTCTTTTGATGTCGGGATGGTTCTTACATAACAGCACACACTCCCTTATCCCACCTCTGAGCACATGATGGGTGTTCATGAATTGGGAGCCTAACTATAGAGTGACCAAGTTGTCCCAGTTTGCTTCGGACTGTCACGGTTTTAGCACTGAAGGCCCCGCATCCCAGGAACCCTCTCAGACCCCAGGAAACCAGGGTGGTTGGTCACCGTATAGAGGTGGATTAAGCTAATCAGCAGAGGAAGGGCTGACAGCACCACATATCACTCACCAGCATCAGCCTTCTCCAGGCAAGGTCGAATGGTTTTAGCATTTCAGTTGTGACTTTAACAACCACAGTGACAAGTAAGTGTTCCTCGCAGTTGTCTGTAGTCACCCACGACTTCAGGGCTGTGCTGTGGCACAAGCCAGTGCCTCTGTGTGTGGGAGGATTCCCGTTCCTCCTTTAGTCTCGGTGTCAGAATCACCTCCCCAGCAGAGCCTCCCCAGAGCCCCTCCCTTCCCCTTGCGTGGGTCTGAAGGACCCCTCTCTTTTATTCCCAGAGTATATCACAATTACAGGATCTGTTTGCCTGGGTCTCCCCCGTTAGACCAGGACTTCCTCGAGGAGGGTGGACTATTGCTGATGCTCTTGTCTGACTGACATCCACCCTCTCTTCTTCTGATAACAGCATCCCCTTTTCCCTTGAGGGGACCAGCCCTCCCCTAATCTCATACCTCATGGTTTGGGTAGAGTTGATGCCACTTCCCAGGCTCCAGGGTAGCCCCCATCCCAGGCCTGGCCCTCTGCACATTCCATCCCCTTGGCCAGTGTGACTGGCTCAGGAGTAGATGACCTAAACCAGGCTAGAGCACAATCAAGCCTGCAACTTACCTCAGTTGGAACTAAGTTGGAATGAGCTAGAACTTCGTTGGAACTAAGCAGAAAGGGATTCTATTTCTCACAGAGTTGATAAGCTCTCCTTGCCAATCTTTGTCACATCCTAGGGAAGAGCCACCTAAAAATGAAGCCAGCACAGGAGAAGGCAGGGCTGAGAGATGGGGAGAGAAAAGGATGGCACTGGGCCAGAGTGAGATTCCGTCCTCTAACTTCCTCATTATGTGAGTCACTTTTTTTGGTTTAAACTGGTTTGTGTTGGGTTTTTGTCCCTTGCAACTAAAAGAAAACTGAAGAATACACTGTCTTTTATTCATGTTTAAATCCCATGCAGGTAGCATTGTCCCAGTACATTGTAGACACTCAAGAAATGAATGTCAGTGCTTTTCTAAATATACTATTGCCATTTTTTTTCAGTACTGAAATAATATTGATGCAAGGAGAGGCAGGAGGGGAGGATGTGGAAAAGTTAGAGCCCTTACACATTGCTGATGGGAGTATAAAATGGTGCAACCACTATGGAGAACAGTGACAGTTTCTCAAAAATTTAAACATAGAATTAGCATATGTGGTGACTCCACTCCTGGCTATATACCCAAAGAATAGAAAACAGGTATTCGAACAAAAACTTGTACACAGATGTTCATAGCAGCACTATTCACAATAGCTAAAAGGTGGGAAAAAACCCAAATATCACCAACAAATGAATGTATCAATGAAAAGTAGTATATCCACACAATGGAATACTATGCAGCCGTCAAAAGGATGAAGTCCTGACATGTGTTACAACGTGATGAACCTTGAAAAGATCCTGAAAAGGGAAAGAAGCCAGACACAAAAGGCCACATATTGTATGATTACACTTATGTGGAATATCCAGAATAGGTAAATCCATAGAAACAGACAGCAGATCCGTGGTTGCCAGAGGCTGGAGAAGAGGGGACTGGGGAGTGACCGCTAAGTGTGTATGGGATTTCCTTTTGGGGTGATGAAAACATTCAGAATAGTGGTGATGGTTGCACAGTATTGTGAATGTACTCAGCGTCACGAGTGGTAAATTTTATGTATATTTCACACTAATAAAAACAAAGCAAAAGAATTGGGAGCTTGATCAGGGCCGCCTCGGACGGATGCCATCCTTTAAATACGGTTTCCTTCATAAGGTGCCCAGATTGTTGGGGGGCAAGTCTGAAATCCTGACTGGGCTCTGCCCCACAAGTTGTGGGTACCCTTGCAGAGTAGGTGCCTTTTTCTGATTCACACAAAGACACCATTTGGGCTAATGCAGAACCTCAGAGACAAGATGGTGTAAAAAGTAATAAGCGAGCGTGGTTGACGGTGCCACTGCAGTTTTTAATACTCCCTGGCTGTGCGTCTCTCAGTATCTGGAGAGCGCCACACTATGCATCCTTTTCTATCCTGAGGGTGCAGTGTCTGAGAATCCACAGTGCATCGTTGAGTGCTTAATTTGTAAGGCCAGCATAAATCACTGGACTAAATTGTCCATTACCATGAGCTCAAATTATCTCGCCATCAGGAGAGTGATCTGGTTGTTTTGCTCACACTGGAAAATTAAGAGACAAAGAGGCAAAAGGCCAAAAGGAGAAGAATTCTAGAACAAGTCCAGTTTTCCGATGTTGGAGACAATTCACAAGGTTAAAGACAAGAACTTTCTGCCTTCACTCATCAGAGGTTTTTTTTTTTTTTTTTTTAAAAAGCCATTTTTGTTTTGGGGATCAGTGAGCTAGAACAGAGCAATAATAATCCTCTCCCAGCTATGGAAGATTTGCTTGTGAACCAGGAGCTGGTGTTCTGAGATTTCCAACCCCCTCGAAGAAGTCAGTAGGAAAAAGGGAAAAAAAGAAAAAAAGCCATGCCCTGGGAAAACCGTCTGTTGAGCCCCTTTAAGGACATGGCAGTGTTTTTTTTTTTTTTTTCCGGTCCCGGGGTCATCGACCACCCCTCTACCTTTGAATCTGCCATTTCCCAATTTGTGTCCCTATTCAAACACGACTTAGAAAATACTGGGGGCAGCTCATCACTAATACAACAGGGTGTGGAATGAGACTTTTCCTGTTGACCCAGCACCACAGCTAAAGCATCGAAGGTGAGGGCAGTGGGTAACGACTCTACCTCCTTCTGTTCAGAGGTGGCCAGACTGGTCCTCTGACCATCAGTAACCATCAGCCTCCAGCTGATATAAGACAAGGTAAAGATTTTATCCAGAGAAGGTTTCTCTGACAGGTCTTTTTAGGGGTTTTCTTCTCCCCTCCCAACCCCCAAGCCAAGAGGGGAGAGTTCAAAGAAGAATCACTCAGGAGACTGGAAACACCAAGAGAGAGTGGCTGGCATCTCGCTGTGGGCTGAAGGCTGCCCGGAGTGAGGAGAGAGGGCAGAGGGGCAAAGGTGCATCCTGTCTCCCCTGGGCCAGAGCGTATATGCTTAGACTTGAGTCATTCTGAAAAACTCACTGGAGAGGGCAGCCTGCCAGGCAAAGGGCCCTCCAGAAAGAATGTAGGGTACTTCCCAGGGCATGAACGGAAAAGGGGTGTGTGAGAGGTCACCCAGCACATGTTCTGAGTCTCCACGTGCTCCCCACAGAGGTCTCAGAAGATCCCCCAGTGCACCCCACGTCAAAGAGGCAGCGCGAAGAGTCCCACCAGGACACCCGGGCAGGGGGATGGATCTGACACTCAGGTGAGAACTACCCCTGTTCCATCTGAGGATCCTTTTCCCACTGGCTCCTCTGGTACTGTACAACAGCAAGGGGAGCTGGAGAGACGGCGGGAAAGGATGCACCAGCCCCGGTCTCCACTGCAGATTCCTGAGCCATCTGTGGGTCAGACCAGGAGGGGCGGGGGAGAAGTGTTAAACTGCATGCGAGAATGAAGTTTTGGTTGGACTAGACTGGATACTCTGATATCTGAATTTGGGACTGTTCTTCTAGTTGAAACTAGAAGCTGTGGGATCTAATGAGTTATGGCGAAGCTTACACAGGTGCATTGGCTGCCATGCACACTATCACATAGAGTCTTCCTCTGTTGCTCAGTTCCCAGTAGAAATCTCATGTGATGTGCACCATGACAGAGCCTAGATCACATGAAGCCTGGTTGAAAGAAAGGTTCTGGGAAAGTGCTTTGGTTTCTCTTATGGGGAGGTAGGACTCATAATATGGGGCATTTTCCAAACATGGGAAGGGTAATAATCAAAGGAGTTTGGGTGGATGCAAAGCATAACAAGTATCCACTAAAGCAATCAATTGGGAGAAAACTGAATGTACTTTGTGCTGCTTATAGCCCTGCCATTTGATGACCTCTGGCTGCTTTCATTATTTAAACTTCCATCTCCTCTGAAAACAACTAGAAAAGCCAGATCAAACCATCATCATTGTCATCATCGTCATCATCATCATCACCATCACCATCATCATCACCGTCTGCTTAAAAGCATTCACACTGCTGCTGAAGCCACCAGGACAAAAGGGGCCAAGATTCTGGAGAGAGAGGAACTGTACTGAGGTGAGCTAACATTCTGCAGCCACTTTTTTCCTGGGAGCATTTGCAAATTTGGGCACATGGAATCTAGACTTTTCCTAGGCAGGGAGCTGTTTCTGTGGGGCAGAGAAACCACAGAACTTTTGGCAGTCTCATAGGGTTGGAGAAATGATACTGGGGATTTAAAAGGTTAATATCCCAGGGAGAAGTTGTGGAGGACAGAAAAGTGAGCTCAATAGATGGCAGTTTACCCCCTTAATACATCTGGCAAATTCTGAAACAATGCAGGTCAAGAGGGTAAGAAGCCAAGCAAAAAGTTCCTGAAAAGCAGAGCAGAGTTTTCAGCAGTCTTGCCGTGTTATGGGGACAAGGATTAGAGCTCAGTACCAGGGTGGAGGGGCCTTGGTGAACACCTAAACTTCTCAGTTGGAAATCCTGAAAGGCAAGGCATTAGAGGTGAGGGCTAAAGTGAAATGGTGTTTTATCAGAACTGCAGCCCAGCCTCCATCCAGCTCAGCCTCTGATTGGATTAAGGTGGTCAGTCATGCCATCTGTTTTGCAGAGAAAGGGTAAACCCTTTCCAGAGAACATCACCTGATGACTCTAGATATTTTTTTCATGCACAGACAACAGTCAACAACAATTACAAGGCCTGCCAAAGGACAGGACCAAATCACTGAAAACAGAAAAAATCAATAGAAACAGACCCTGCAGGTGACCAAGGCATTGGAATTAGAAAGGGGCTTTACAATAATCAAGACTAATATGTTTAAGAAAAACAAAGCAGATGACAGAGAAGACAGATGAAAAGAGAATTTTTTTCCCCTCAGGGCTCACCTCCTTCCCTCCCCCATACCTCAGTGTGTCCTGTGTCCCTCGCTGCAGACTCAGCTCCCCACCCACCACCTCCTGCCTGCAGAGACCTGAGGGTGAGAGGTGCTCCAAGCCCGGGCTTGTTCCAGAGGCCGGAGTGGGTGCACAGCTCTGAAAAGAGAATTTTACCAGAGGATTGGAGTCCATAACCTTCTTAGTTCAAAAGAGATTGAGAGCATAGAGAACTCACTTGAGCACCTCATCAACCCAGAGAGATTTTGAAAAAGCTGATTCAGCTCTTTATGAGCCATAAAACCCCATGGCCCACAGTCTAAGAAAAGTTTCCCATCACAAGTTGTCATTCTGTTTCTTAAGTGGCTTCCTTTAAGGGACACATATTGTACCATGGGTTCTGAGTCTGCTCTGGCCCATCAGCCCAGTCACTGGAATGGAGCTCTGTTTACCTAGAGAAAAAGGTGCCTTTTTGTTAATTATCCTAAATACATCCTTTGGGCAATGTGTGTTGGGAGTCCTATTAGTTAAGATGGTCAGGGAGATGAAATCTCTTTGAGATGACATTTGAGTTGACACTAAGTGACAAGAAACCAACTAGGAGAGGATGAGGGGGAAATGTGATCTAGGCAGAGGGGACATAGAGTTCAAAGAACTTTGAGGCAGACTGTGGCTGGCTGTTTAACTAGGGGTTAGCAAACTTTTCTGTGACGGGACAGAGGGTAAATATTTTAGATGTTTTAAATCCTACAATGTCTGTTGCAACTAAATTCTGCTGTTATAAGGCAAAGGTACACACACACAATAAATAAATGGGTGGCAGTGTTCCAATAAAACTTTATTTGTGGGCACTGAAATTAGAATTTCTTTTAATTTGCACATCACAAAATATTCTTTTGATTTTTTTTTACCCAACCGTTTAAAAACGCAAAATCCAATCTTAACTCTGGGATCGCAGTTTGTTGATACAAAGTAAGTTAGGCAGCCTGGGATCAGATCATGCAGGACATATAGGGCACGGTAACCAATCAGATTAAGGCAAAGCCCCTTTCACTCTCCAAATGGGAAGCCACCCGTTAGGGTAATTGCAGGCCAGGGACCAGTTCTGGGAGGCAGCTTCGTACAGCTCACGGGAGATCCTTGGGTTTGTTTTATCCCCCCGCCCCCCCCCCCCGTATCGAGAGGACAAACAAAAAGATAGGCGCGCGCGAGCACACACACAAACACACACACACAAATCCAGCCAGAAAGCCAGAAAGAGGACGTGCCCGAGTTCACGGTGACGTTTCTCTAGCACGCACCACGGGGTTTAAAGTTGGGCGCACACCTGCTCCCAGCTCGAGCGCACCTGCTGAGCGGCGCTCCGGCCTCGTCTCGCGAGAGCGGTGCGGTAGTAGTGGCTCCCACCCCCACCCTGCCACCAAATCCCTCTCCCCGCCCCGTCGCCCAGCCTCCGCGCCCTAGCACCCTCCCTGGCGTCTCCACCGTCCCCCGGAGCAGCCTCGGCCCGCCGCGCGCGCTTC